GTTACTTGACCAATGGGGAGCAAAAAGCAGTGATCATCTGTCTGAACGGTAAGTAAACTGAGTTCGCTATAAAGGCTACCATATAGTCCTCGCTCTATATAGTGATTGAGGTATTTAGGGAACAGTAATCTTGTATGAGAACAGCTACTTTTAATCAGAGCATGCACGAGAAGATATGGGCTTGTGCGAGCTCTCGTACGCGTTTAAAGGAAAAGTCCGGTCATATTCAGAATTGAAACTTCTGAAAGTACTTTAAATATCAAATTATTACATACTGTTCAATAACTGATAAGTGTTTTTAATTAAGAGTAATTTTCATTGGAATGTCCTTTACTGAAGGCATCCATGTTTGTCAAAGAGAACATTGCCTCCTACCAGTTTGTGACGTCACGGTGTGGTATCGGCTGTTGATCTATCTGGTTCTCGTCACAACTCGGTATTTTGCAAGCCATCTTGAAAACTTAATAATTTTTCTCTGGTAAGAAGGTATACGGCAAATCCACCCTCTTCAAGTTGGCAATCCAATGACAAATGTGGAGGATCATGAATCAGAAAGGTGAAATAACTTTTTTTTTTCTGCGTTTACCCGATGTATTACAACATCTAACTGCCACGCACGTGGGCATTGTCAGTTTAACTATAGCTCTCGCATATATTTCAATGGTGAAGTCCTCTCGAAATCTTAAATAATTGTTGTTGATTTAAGGGTGCCTCGGGGTTTCCATCAACTTTTCTTGTAAAGCGGGGAGAATGGCGCAAGGCTTACCGCACTGTGACATCACAGCCGGATGATATCAGGAGTGAGTTACTATATTTGGGAAAAAATGGCAGGTCCCCGAGTCAGTGATTGAGACAAAAATTATTCTTTTTATTTTTTTATAGATTAACGCTTAATTCATTTAATCACTGCAAAGATATTAATTTTAGGAATGGAAAATGATCCATTGATCATTCCTTGCTGACCAGGCGTTTCCTTTAATAGGCGTTTCCTCTCTGAAGTGGGTCCTTGGTTGTGAATGTGGATTTTTTATTTATTTTCTAAGTGGAGAGGGTCTTTTAAAAAAATTACAAAAGTCCTTCACAATACCTTTAAGACACAATTTAAAAACAACAGTTTCAACTTAACACGTCTTTAAAATTGTCCACAGGCTCTTAAAAGACCTTTTGCAATTAGTATTTAATTAATGGGGAAAAAAGGAGAATATTCAATAAAATGGTAAAACAAAGATGAGTTGTGAAATCCTATAATTATGATGTTTTAAAACAAATAAAGCATGTTATTTCAATTCAACTCGCTAACTCTGTAAACTTATTAAACATTGATAGACCCGTGTCTTTTATAAAGAAGAAAGCGAAAAAATATTATTGATCAAATATTCTTTAATGCTCCGTTTCCTTGGTCCTCACTTATAAAAGCCCGTAAAATAATGAAAGGGAAATCCATCCTCTCTTAAACTACTAAAGAAAAGTGATTACATTTTTTGTGTAGGCATTTTTTAAAATAATATAGAGAATATCTATTAATAACAGACAGACTGCTATTAATTAATAATAAATCAGGAAAATGGGTAAAAAAAAAAAAGGTGGAACATTAATTATTAATCCACAACACTTGTAAAAAAAAAAATAACAGCCGAAAATAAGGGACAACTGTGACATTACAGAGAACTAGACCTAACTCCAAAATATATTTTAAAAAAAAGCAAGATAAAAGCTTGTCAGGTAGAGTGACAAAATGCCGACAGCATAACAGACAGCTGCTGGAATTTTTGCAGGTATTGGGGGTGTACGACAAAATGCAATCTCTTGTATTCTCTATATGTTTGGAATTTGAGTTAAGGTTTCAAGACAAAAGCCTATTTTTAAAAATAAAACAATGATGTTCAGGTGGGTATCACAGTTTGATAAAACAAAAATCTAAATTCGAGGTTTATAATCCCAAACGATTGATTTGGTTAGCAAAAAACAATACGAAACACTGTTCATCACATAATAAATACCATTTGAGTAATACATGGTTACTGGAATAAAAGGGATTTCATTCAAAACCTCCTAAATAGCTGCTTAATTGACCCAGAAACCTTCAGCTGTTTGCTAAACGGCTGAAGATAAAAGGAAGCGTCATCTTTCAGAGTATAGATTATATCAACCATAGATTAGTTCCTAGGGATTAAGAAAATTACCGTCTCTCAAAGAGCCTGGCCTTAAAACATGGCATTTTCCAATCCTTTGAACATCTAGAATACAAAAAACGCAACTGATTTGAAAAAAATAAATGTTCTCAAGTGTTCTTTATACGTTTCTGTCTTTTTAAACAAGTTTTTTTAACTCTCACTTTAACTGCCAGAAGAACATCAAGCGGTTTTAACTGAGGTTTAACTGTGGAAACCTTCAATATACTGAGAAACAAAAATCTGGTCATGTGCAGCCATCTTAGGTCACTTTGCAGATTTTGCCATTGAAGGTGGGAATAAATATTGGGGTGTCTTCTATTTTCTCATAGTTTATTTATTCAGGTTTCATGGTCTAAGAAATCTGTAGTTTGTGGCACTTCTACCCCTTAATAATTTGGTTGTGTTCTATGTATTATTTGATCAAATGTCTCAATGTCATGCATTGATTGAGAACCATTTCTCTGAAGGCTGGGAGGTCATTTAAATAGAATATATAATCATTTATACCGCTCAAAAAAAAGGGAACACTCAAATAACACATCTTAGATCTAAATGAAAGAAATATTATCATTGAATACTTTGTTTTGTACAGGGTTGAATGTGCTGACAACAAAATCACCAATAGAAATCAAATGCATTAACCAATGGAGGCCTTGATTTGGAGTCATGCTAAATTAAAGTGGAAAAAGCCACTACAGGCTGATCTAACTTTGATGTAATGTCCTTAAAACGGGTCAACATGAGGCTCAGTATTGTTTGTGACCTCCCTATAGCACCTGGGCATAATCTGGATGATGTGGCAGATGGTCTCTGGAGGGATCTCGTCCCAGACCTCGACTAAAGCATCTGCCAACTTTTGAACAGTCTGTGGTAAAACGTGACATTAGGGGATGAATCGAGACATGATGTCCTAGATGTACTCAAATGGGTTCAGGTCTGGGGAACGGATGGGCTAGTCCATAGCTTCAATACCTTCATCTTGTAGGAACAGCCGACACACTCCAGCCACATGAGATCTAGCATTGTTCTGCATTAGGAGGAACCCAGGGCCAACCGTACCAGCATTTGGTCTCACAAGGGGTCTGAGGATCTAATCACATAATGGCAGTCATTTTACCTCTGGTGATCACATGGAGGACTGTGAGCACAACCCCAATCTCTGGATACTGGTCCCTCATACCACGCTCATGGAGTCAGTTTCTAATAGTTTGTGCAAAAACAGACACAGCAAACCTTCTTGCCACAGCTTATGTTGATGTGCCATCCTGGATGAACTGCACTACCTGAGCCACTTGTGTGGGTTATAGTCAGTCTCATGCTACCACGAGTGCGAAAGCACTAACAACACTCAAAAGTGACCATAAATCAGCCAGAAAGCATAGGTACTGAGAAGTTGTGTGTGGTCCACTCCTTTATTGAATGTGTCTTGTTAACTGACAATCATTTACACCTGTTTTCTACTCCATTTGTAAAACAGCATTTGAAATTGATTGTCAATCAGTGTTGCTCCCTAAGTGGACTGTTTGATTTAAATGAAAATTTATTTAATTGAAGTTATATTGAATTTTTTGAGCAGCGTATATCTTATCATATATATGAGAAGATGGAGCTAAAATTAAACAATGAGGGTAAAACAATGTTCAGCCATGCCTCATTGTCATGATTTATATAGATCATATACACACCATATAAGTAAAAAGCTATGCCTATTCCTTTTGACTATACAGAAAAACCCTAAATCCTTAATAAGAACTCAATGAATCAGTACATTGATATACAACTGAGCAGCTCAATTGGAACAATCTTTATGAAAAAAAGGTTATTTTGTGACATATTTCATGACAATAAATGGTGGGGAGTGATAAAAACTTAAAGACAGGGTAAATTATGGGTTAGCTACAGTACTGTGCTGTACAAGTCAGAGTAATGAAAATTCTCATTTTGAGATTTTTGAAGCAAGGGTTCTGAATGCCATTTGCTCATACTTGCTCAGAGACCGATTTCCCCCTTCAAACACTTCTCCATTCAGTTAATCATCTTTCAACCCAGGCTGATGTGAAGCACTCTAGGTGTGCATTAGACCGCGGAGGAGTCGTAAAATTAGCTCCTAAGAACTGACCCAATCCATTGACTGTGTAACCTTGACTCCAGTGCAGAGACAGTCAGTTGACCACTGCCTTATAGGTAGTGGTCATGCTTGAAAAGTCATAGATTCCATTTACTCGATGGCTAAATGGAACCAACATGCTTGCCCACACAGATGTCATTAAAATGTCTAGGGTAGGCTTAGTCTGGCACAGTGCGAGTCGGGGTGTCTCATCTCAGTCAGATACAGAATCTAACTAAGATGAGACATGCACACTCATACAAAAGCAGTAAGGGAGGAAAAGAACAAAGACATCAAAACAGGTACAGGTATAGTAGCCATAACTAATTTTTTAAGTGTGAAGTAGCTCAATCAAACATGTGTGTCAGCAGTTTTAATCCCACTTCCCAGAGAGATTAATTACCTTAGCATTTAAAGCTACAAATCTAAATTTATTCACTCCAGTTTTTGGCCCAGTCTAAAATGATCTTTTCCTCCAATAAAAGGATAGGTTTTAAAAGTATGCCTTTGGTTCTGGGACTATTTTACTGGCCACTGCTGGAATGGCACCTGGGTCCAATTGTGCTTGGAAAACTGTCAGATATGAGATATGTGTAGATGCATCAATCTGCGGCAGCTAGCAGGATAGGCTGCTACCCTTGGGGTTATTAAATTGCTTCCTTTGTGCTAGACGAGCAAATCCATCTTAAAAACCAGTTGGAAGGAAGTTTGGTACCTACCTTCAGGTTGTGTCTCTCCAGCCTCATTTCCAAAATATTATTCTGCTCCTCCAAACGCTGTCTCTCCTTCTCTAAGTCCTCAATTTTTTGCCTGGAATTTTTAAGCATAAAATATTTTAATGCATGTATAAAAAGATTATGCATATATGCAGCTCATAGAACTGATTATTTAACTCTGGTTAAACAAGTGTTTAACATATGGATTTGTCAGGAGAAACCCCTTTAATTTTATTAGACTTAGAATTTAAAATCTACATACAGTTTCTGCAGATATCACTGATATAATTGTACCAAACTTTATTCATCCAACGTCATAGTTTCTTTGAAGCAAATACAACTGCAAACTTAAATTTTAGTCATTTACTTTTACATGTCTTCTGTCCAAGTTTAAGGTCATGTATCATTAAAGTTTTTCCCAGGGTTTTCTCTACCATTATTCAAAAGATCGCAACATGTAGTAATTATATGTTTAAAGTTAATGTATTTAATAATAATAATAATAATAATACAGTTTATTTGTAGGCGCCATTCTTGAGACTCAATGTCACTTTATATTTCAAACATAAAAACACAAGAAAACAGGCACATAGTTAAAACTGTAGAATAAATACAAACGTGATCAAGGAAAAAGTTAAGACATGACAATAAATAAATAAAAATTTAAATCCCTTTATTGTCCCAAAATGGGGAAATTCACTTTCTTCATTTAACCCATCCCCTTAGGGAGCATTGGGCTGCCATTATGTGGCGTCCGGGGAGCAGTGTGGAGTTAAGGGATTTGCTCAGGAACCCAGAGTGCAGGCTTTGGGGATCGAACCGGGTACTTGCAACCTTCTGAGAGCACAAGTGCACTGATCTAACCCACTAGGCCAACACTCCCTCTTAAAGACACTAATTAGAAAGTTTGAAAAGGTGAGTTTTGGGCTCTGATTTAAGAACTGATTTTTTGTGTTTTTTTTGGGAAGCTACAACATCTGTTGGTTAAAGTCTCTTCACAAGTGCTGTTTGTTGACGTACTCTTCCAAGTTCTTACGAAATAATGAATATCCAAACACACAACCGTAAAAACTATACCCGAGAACACAGAGGGAAAAAAACTTAATGCAATGCAATTTTTTTTAAAGCTTTCACATTAAAATTATGAAAGTATGACTGCAAAAAAAAAAAAGAGAAATGCCAACTGGTCTTTGAGTTTAGTACCTTAGTATGTTGACCTCTTCTTTGTTCACAAAAGAGCTGCCGTCAGCTGCAGAGGTCAGCTCCTTCTTTACAGTGCCCAACTCAAACTCCACCTAGAACAGACAAAAAAAAAAAAAATGATCTGGGGGAACGAACGTCACCCCACCTTTGGTCACAAATCCAGCAGAAACATTTAGGCTGCAGACAAATTCTTTGGACTCTCTGTTATCAACTACCATCTCACGGCACATAGAGAACCATTCAGCAGATCCTTCACACACCATTAGTCCTATTACTCTGTTTTATAATGTCCTCTTCGCTTGCTACCACAGGTTTTAATCCGTCTGTCTCTCAGTTATTTCACCATTCTTGTTCTGCAATTATGTCTCATTTACATTTGCAAACCAATTTTCCTCCTAACAGCATCTGTCTGTCTTTCAGCATATCCTCTCTTAAAGTCTTCCCATGACGAATAAGTAATTACTGCTATATCAGACAGGTGGATTTTATGCGTCACTACTCATTGCTTTGGATGTGTTGATGTTACCTTGGCAACAAGGGGCCACAAAAATAATAAGAAGAGGTGAAGTAAAGACAAAAACCTTCAAACTCTAAGGCTGCCAACACTAGCTTGTTATATTAACTCAGTACTAAAATATATCTCTCTAAATAATGTTTGGCAAAGTATGATGGAATGTATCCAAAGTAAGTTTTGTCACATCAGAAAAATAATGTTGGTCAGTGACCTGATGTTTATTATGGATAATACTGAATACAATCAATAGCTATGTTTACATGCAAGCAAAGCGCCAACTGAAAACAAAAATGTGTTATTCAAACAAACAAACCAGAATATTATGCACCAGTAACGCCTCAACCACTCTCAAAAACCGGGAATGGTTTGATTCATGATGCTTAGCACAGCCAAGTCCAACACATCTCCACACTGTTTGCATTTGTTGCTAGGGGTGTCCCGATAAAATATTCTAATTTCTGATACAATACTATTTAGGGGTGTAAATCACATCCATCATGGTGATTCGATTCAGTATCGATTTCCTGACCCAACGATTCGATTATTTACGATACTCAAGAATACACCACGATGCGATTCGATTCAATTATTCAGTTAATTCTTTTTTTTTTTTTTACACCTTACAGGCTAAACAAAGTTTCAAGTTTGAAATAAATCAATGAAAGCTGTAATATCGTTATGCATTTTTTTTTTTTTTTAGAAACAACAGCAAATAACAGAAGTAGAAAAGTTGCATAAAAAAATACT